AAAAGATGCAAAAGGGTGATTTTTCATTGTAGACTGAAAGAAAGGATAACACATGACTCAAAGGGGCTGACTAGGGGGTATGACACACCAGAACGGTCAATTTGGTCATGGGCTAATCCTATGCCTCCATCATCTTAGCTAATGACAACGTGAATGCTACACATCATGGAAGAGGGAACTATCGCACAAGAAAGAAACGAGCAGGCTCAAATCTCACATGGCTACCTATATGCTCTATCTCTCATTCTGATTCCCTTAACTAGATGCATAACCGACTTTCAAGAACAAGTGATCAATCCAAGTCACAGTTGGTAAGCAAACAGTTGAAAAACCAAACCCCTACACATTTCTACTGCACGTCTCAGTCATCATTATAGGTTGTCTTAGTCACACCTCAGTTCTCATGCATTAAGTCGAAAGCCATTCAATTCACCAATTAAAACCACAGTGCCAATATGATCAAGCAAACATTAGTACTTGGAGCCCTCAAATCTCAAATTTGGACAGTGGACTAGGCTCCAAGCACACAAACATCCAAACATTCACCCGCATACATAATCAAACACCCCCCCACACTTAAGCACGACATTGTCCTCAATGGAGGAAAGATAAGGAGGGTAGAACGAAGTTACCAGATCAAGGGTGAATGATGATGAACGGGTCAGGCGGTGCATTCCACAAAGAGAGAGTAATCAGAACACAAACACCACACAAAATCTCACAAAGGTTGAGTTATTGACTCTAAAATCAAATAACAAAACTTACTCAACCGAGGAGAAATAGAGAAAGAAATGCAAACTGACTGGTTGGGTTGCCTCCCAACAAGTGCTTCTTTCACGTCGTGAGCCGGACGATGGCTCCTAAGTTTCGGTCCATGCTAGAACCTCCTTGAAGTTGAGGTTCTCGTCAATGAGGTGGAGTCGCATGTCACGAGCATGTGGTATGACTGGTGATGGAAGCTCGTGCACTTGATGCAGATGAAGTCTCCATCCTCGAGACCTCTTCTTCTCTTCTCTCGTCCCATTGCCCCAAACCAGATATGGCAGCATCGATTGGCCACCATCGCGTCCACCAAGAGGGACCGATGTCGATGTGGCCTTGGTCTGGCAAAGAGACACTGCAAATGGGTCCTTGCTAAGCAGTTCCTCGAAGTTTGGTGGGGATATTACTTGTATTATAGGGCCGCTGCAAGCCTCTTCCACCTCAACTTCATCCTCAGCCTGGACACCACTCGCTTCTTCAACCCCCCTTCATTCTTCAAAATGTGGTCTCTCTCCTCGGAAAAGATCAAGAACTACCTCATCTTTGCTTTCTTCCTCATCCTCCACAACTTCTTTCCTCACCCTTTCTCTCTCTTCTTCTTCCATAACTGATTGGAGAGCAAGTCGCCATGCAAGGTTCTAAATAAGTTCAGCTTGCATCTCCTTGCTCGGGCCCAGCATGTCAAAGCGGAAATGGGGAAAGTTGTGATCTACCACCAGAGGATACACTTGATCATGATTATCATGGGAGCTTTCCTTGACAACTTCTGTATGCTCCTCAACATCCTCATGATTGCCTTCTTCTTCCTCCACCTCTACTTGTATGGCAGCATAAAGGTTGTCTTGAGAAAACTGTGAACAAGCTTTCTCAATGACCTCTATGTGCTCCTTTATGCTCCGAAGGGTATCCTCTGTTTCACGGGGAAATGAGAAGTCAGTTTGGGCAATGGCCTCGATATGAGGATCCATCTCGGGAAAGGATCTCTCAGGTACTCGAGCAATCTGCTCCACGAGAAGCCTCAAGTGATAGTTTGGATCCGGTTGTGGAGTGTAGCATGGCTCTGCCGGATCGTCCGTGAAGGCTGTGGCAAACCCAAGATCTGATGGTCCTTCTTGTTGTGGGAGGAATTCTTCTTGATAAGGAGATTGTTCTTGAAATACCCAGGGGTCTGATTGTTCTTCGTAGTAGGGGGGTTGGTACTGAAACCCGACTCCATAGTCTTCTCCTCCTTGGTTACTCCAGAGAGTCTCGGGGTAATACCACTCGGATGGTGGTGGATACCCCCAATGGTTGGAGAAGCCATGAGGGTCCATGATTCAGATCTTCACCAACAAAAACAAAAAACACCCAAGTGAAAAGCAAGGACGGAAAACAAAAGAAAAACGCTAAAGTAAAAAACTTCCGCCTTTCCTAATAATCTAGAAAGTCCCCGACAACGATGCCAAAAACTTGACACGCTACGACACAACACATAAAAATGGCCAAGTGTAACCAATGAAAGGGACTGCAGTATAGTGGCACAAGTAATCAATATCGAATCCACGGGTCTCTAGAGTTACTATTACTCAGCTTCAGTTCATTATCCAGCAAACTAGATTAAGGATTGATTTATAAACTACTCTACTGACTACTCTACTAATAACAAGTTGGGAACTCACTTAGGTATGATTCCCCCTAGCTCCTCAATTAGGTCCAAGTTGCAATTACTTTTGGTTGGTCTACTGTTGATTAAACTGCGGAAGATCCTAAATTAGCTTGGAATCTCTTAAGCTGACCAAGCCCTCTTATACAGAATACCCGGCAGGCGACTAGCCTTCACCGGGGTAGACTGCTAAGGCGATTCACACAGATCTCCACTACTAGAATGAATTCCAGTACAAAGCAGTGAATTGATTGACTCTCGCACAACCAATTCACCACTATCAATCAAGGAAGCTCTCTTAACCTAATCAGATTCGATCTATCATAGGTTAAAGCAGAAATCAAAAGAAGATGATCAGGCTTCAATTGACTCTATAAATCATGCCTCAATCGATTATAATAAAAAAATATAGCATCCAAAACTACATACAAGAAAGATCCTAACACATGGAACTAGGGTTCCTCAAAACCTAAGTGAAGGGAAGTTACTCCATAGAGAAGAGAGAGACTGCAGAAATCTGATCTAGATCAATCTCCATCTCCAAGCTTGATTCCCGAGCTCCAATGGCGAAGAAATCCTCCAAAATAGCTCCAAGAATGTTCCCAAGTCGCTCTCTCTCTCTCTAGGGTTCGTCCCTTGGGTGTTTGGGAACCAAAACCCCGCTCTCCCCTTTCCTTTTGCTGAAAATCAGGTTTTAACCAGAAATTCCCGATCACACGGCCAGGCCACACGGCTGCGTGACTTTCCCAGATGACCGTGTGAGAGCTCGGTGATTTCCACACGGCCACATTGCCAGGTCACACGGCCGTGTGGGTTTTTAGGCGTGCCCGTGTGGCTTGCTCAGCCTCGGTTTAATGCTTCGTTTCTCCCTCGTCCGGACTCCAAATCAGTCGTCGTTTGATCCCAGACGCTCGTAGTCTCGTCCTCTTTCTTTTCATGACAAAGTTCCATGATTATTTGTCCATAATATGAGGTAGAAGTCCATTATTCCTCAGGTCATGCTCGTGTTTCTTCTCCCGAATTGCCAAATGATCTCCGATTGACTTGAAACTTGCGCCTATGCTTCAATTCACATGCTAGGACCTGAAATGTGACAAAGGAACACAACCTAGAGTAAAATAGTCCAAGAAATCAGAAACTCAAGCCAAAATGATCAAGAAACGAGGGTGCAAACATGTGCAAATCCGATGTTATCACGTAGCTTCCATCCTTGAAGCCTGCGTAATAACGCCTCCTTCACATACCTAAAGGTGTCCAACTTAGATAGTGAAACCAGAGTCGATAGTTCCAGGTACTTATCATGCACCGCTACCGCGCAACCCGTAATCTTGTAGCAATTGACATTCCTTTCTCCGTGACAATATTCACTACAAGAAAAACAGTATTCTGTAACAAAAAATTTCGTCACCAAATACGCCAGTTCGCGTCACCAAAGGCTTTTGTGCCAAAAAAAAATTCATCACAAGGGTCGTCACGTATACGCCTTTGCAAAAGGCTACAGTGACGAAACATTTTAGCTTCGTCACCCAAGACAGAGCTTTAAGTGACAAAATATTTCGTCACATAAACTTCTACGTTTTGTCACGATATTCATTTGTCATAAAAAAATGGACTTTTGGTGACGGTTTTAGGATTCCTTACAAAATATTTTCTTTTAGTGACGATGTAAACTGTCATAGATTGTATACCATTTGGTGACGAATATAACTTTCTCGACACCTAAAGTAGAGTTATGGCCCCATTAGCTGTCAGATGGGTGCCCATTGGTGACGATCAAAACCCTTAGGTAACAAAGAAATCTGTCACAAAAAAAATTATTGTTCTTCAGTCTTGCTAATTGGTGACGAATGTTAGATTTTTTGTGACGAACGAAATTTCAGTTGACATAATTTTCTTGTTAAAATCCACCTGTCATTCATATAGCTCAACTAAAAATGTAAGTTTACATAATATCATGTGCCTACACATCCAAGAGCATGAAACATTTCAACCGAAGAGAACACATGCTCCATCTCTCTAACATATAATTAATAGAGAATTAGCTTTAGGAATTGACACATACAAAATATGGTCACAAAAATAAGACAACGTGTTTCAAAGAGATTCACATCTTCAACTTAGCACGCTGACACAAAGCATGGCCATTGACTCCTCCCTAAAGCACTCTCATTTCTCAAAATCAGTAGGCTATCTACCTCACCTTGGATCTGCAATATAAAACTAACACATTGTAAGCACATATATAAAGATATCATGTCATAAACACAAAGTGCAGCTAAGGCTACAAATCTCATAAGATAGAAAAACCTAACATGGCTTATTTATTTATTTATAAATGTGAATCAACTTCTTTAATCTCAAAAAAATAAAGAGAATACCATCGAAACTTATACTAATGACAATCCACCTGCCAACTATTATCTACCAACAACCTCATGTTCTCTATGAGCTCACATCTTTTTATTAGCCCTTAGTTGTTACTTTCCACAGTTATTCCTCTTTTCTATATATTTATTATGTGCAAAAGAGAGGCAAGTAATAGATAAGGAGTTGCTGATGTGTTCTCCAAAGTGGAGTACATGCTGCAAATTCATACATACCAATCATTGCTTCATTAATCTAATGAATTGTAGCAGGTGGAAATAAAGTTCATTTTCCCTTCATTCTTGAAAAATGACAAATGTACTAACTCAATCTTAGACAAATTATCCCTATCTCTAGACATATTCTAAGCTCAATCATAATATATAGACTATTGAAATGGATAATTTCGTGTATCTTACCATTGTCCACGGTTACCGTTGTCAAAGAATGCACCCTTCTTCTCTAGTTCTTTCACCCTATCCATTGACGAAGCCATTTGTTCATTGTGATTGTCCTCGAGTTCCTTCATCTTATTGTTGGTAGAAGTCAATTGTTCATTGTAATCATCGCGCTCGTGCAACAACAAGCTGTTTTGCTCTTCTAGTCTCCTGTATCGCTCATTTAATTCCTTGTATGTGGCCTTTTTAGCTGGAGGAGGTGGACCATGTCCGAGGCTTGCACAATCACTTGATTTGGTTCCTAGGACATCATTAAATGCATTATTTCCATCAATAGGATGATTGGTGTCTTTGCTTTCATCCACCTTTGCTCGCATCTTCTCCTGAAAATATGATTGTTGTTATATAATAATATTAATATTCTTAATCCCCTCATATCATAACCATGTCCCTTCTTATTAGCTTTTAAAGTAAGCACTTCACCAAATTACAGAAGATAAAGTTCAAATGTTTAGTTTCAATTTATCGTGAGGTATAGACTTTACATATATACTCTCCATATACTAAAAGCTCCAAACTTATAATACTATATAAGGAAAACTCACCTCCAGATGGCCATAAGACATCCATTATTATAAAGACTAAAATATAATTAAAAAACTAACTTACATGTGCTTTTTTCACATTGTTATTGATCCATTTTCCATCCTTACTTCTTGTCCGCTCATAGAAATCCATCTTATCGAAGTCATCATTGCCTTTAAGCTTTTCACGTGCTTTCTACATGTGTCAAACAACATTATCTGTTCATAGATAATATAATTCATTATAAACAATCATCATATGTTAAAACCTTAGGAAACTACCATTTCATGAAGCGAGGGCACAAATGCATTGGGTCCTTGGTTGTGTGGATGCTTTAACTTGCTTCGGTTCAATGCATTTTGCTTACACTTAGCCTACAATAAACAACTTAGTAAATCTAAGTTTGTCAAAACCAAAAAACCAGTTACTAGAAAAATATAAAAAAGTATACCTGGACAAGTATGTCATCCCAATAATCACATAGATGTTTCCAAGTATTCTCATCACATTTTTTGGTATACTTTCTCTTGCCTTAGCCCCACCGCCACATGCTTTGTAATCGTCATGTATCCTACCTCTTTTGGTTCTAACCAAGCTTTGGAACTTCGCCCAAATATGACCCTCAACCTCACTCATGTTGGTGATGTTCAAGTTTACCTACATTAAGATACATAGCCAATATTAGAGGTCCAGTATTATGGCTTCCATGTATCTTACTACTGCTACCACTCTCTCCTAAACTCTCATACCCAGTTCTCATACAAATGAATTCAGAAAATAAGATGGTTGAAGTTACTTAATGATAATTTGGCTAATACTTCAGGAAGAATTATCTCTTTCAAATCCACCTTGGAAATAGGCCAGACATATTCATTGGCAATTTGTCGAATTTCACTTGAATATTAGCTGCTTTCATTTACTGTCAAAGGCATTCCATAAAATGGATCCACATGGATAGTCATTTTGGCACCAACTCTTTCATTCAACTTGCGCAATCCAACACCTCGTGAAGGTCCTCTTCCTTTCTTCTTTACACTAGGCTGACTCTCCACTTTTCATAAACCCATGAAAAGAAAAATGTTAGCACTTTTCATAAACTATTTTCAACTTTATTGATTCAATTCAATAATTACCAATTGGTGGATTAGAGGATGTTGTTTCATTTGCTTGGGAAGCACTTGAACTGCCATTTCCTGGTCTGGCAGTGGAGGTAGTTGCGGCTACTTGTACATTTGAAACATAAATAGTCAAAGAAATGTGTTGGAATGTTAGAACTGTTATATTGGACAAATGTAACTTTTTAGCACAAGAACATTTACTTGGTAACTATGAATAAGTCACATAAGTAAAGCATAAATCAACACTTATAATTATGTGAAGTCCAAATCCAACGCTGAACCAAACAAGAATGTTAGAATTAGAAGTCATACCTTAAATAGAAAATTTAATCTTCAGCAGGATAAACTTCCAAAAAGGCTCGAAGTTGCTCCAAGACTACTTCAATAACAACCCAAGACGACTTCAGTAACAACTTCAATAGCAGCTCACAACAACTTCAATAATCAAAATTCAAAGATGATTCATTGATGTTGGTCAAGGAATAAAGATTTTCTTACTTTGGAAAAACAAGCAACTACACAAACTAGGAGAAGAAGACGAGCTAGAAATTACAGGAAAGTAATGTAAAAGGAACGTTGTTGAGAAGAAGTTAAGCTATTCTTGTTGAAAAATCTTCATTTTGTAAGATAATTGCCCATTTAGGAAGAGAAAAAACTCTTAACTGCCGTCAATGATGCATCAGTTCAATAATTGCCCTGACCATCAAATTTTAAGAGATTGATTCTCTTAAGAAAATTCTAATCGGCCTTTGGTGGTCAACTTTATGGCATACGCTAGTTGTTCCGGGAATGTTATAAGAAATTATAATACAGACCTGATTCTAGATGCATGATAGCAACGTTCAATGGCATGTACATTTCTAAAAGCACCAAACACTTCACCAATATTGATATACTTTTCAATTGAATGGTGTGATGTATGAGAAATACATGAAAAATGAAAACCTTTCCACCATTCAATTTCAAGTTAGACTGTTGAGAAAGTGTAACCACAATGAATCATTTTTCTCATTACCTTTTTTAAGAACAAAACAGCAAATAGAATGATATTCAGGCTTCCTTAAATGTGGTTGTTATCCCCCCATCCCAGCTAGCTAAGGCTTCACTATAAATAATGCCACAGAATATATGTTGCTTAATCTAATTTATCCACAATATTCCTAAAGCCTAAGAAAAAGATGATCTCAAACAATCCCTAGATGAGACACCATTCGTTTTCCCACCTGAGTCAAGACAGAGTCCTCTGTACTGAACTAAATAGGTAAAGCTCACTTTGCAATGGGATTTCAATTTGTAAGACGCCCAGCCATTATTCAAATAGTTAACCCGCAAATTTCAGTTCTCTTCTAAACCAAACACAACTCACTGTGAAACACATTTTCATTATAGATCTTGAATGACAAGTTTATTAACCCACTCTGCTGTGATGGATGGATTAAGCAAAACTAGGGTTAGGGTCGATGGGGAAAGAGTTCGGGAAGACGAAGAAGGGATGAAATGAAAAGCATAGAATATGAAAGCAATTCTTACCTGAGTTGTTGAGCCGGAATTAAGCCCACCAATCACCAACGATGATACGACTCAGAGAAGAGTAACGACAAGCGATGAAGGGTATCACGGCAGCCGTAGCTTGTCTTCCATTTTGATCAACAAAATAGAGAGAGAATGGTTTTGTCTCTTGGCAGAGAGATAAGGATAAGGTGGGTGAGTTTTGTAAGGTTGAGATTTTTCCTATTTTTTCCCCGAAGCAACTAACGTGTAAGCTGGCAAAGAGGGTTAGATTATTGAGTGTAAGCTGGCAATGTTTATTCATGTAAGATAGTTTATTTTATTATACTTTCATTCCGGGCGAAACCAAAAGAATTGGATAGATTATACATGCACTGCTCAATCCCCAATTATTTTTTATTAAAGAATAAAAAGAATTTACAATAAATAATTTTATGTCACCATTGTTTTTCGTCACGCAAGCTCAATCACTATATGTGACGAATAATTTTTGTCATATAAAAAAATACTTTAGGTAACGCTCAACTTCGTTACATAAAAGTATAGTTTTGTCACGTATGGTATTTGTTAGAAGCCAATCAAAATAGATATCTTGAGCAAAAAAATTCGTCATATAATGTATATCTTTTGTAATGAAATTGACATCATCACAGAAAATAATTGTCACAGAAGATGCAGTTTGTTGTAGTGATTACGACTAAAGCATGCAACTTATTTCTAGAGATTCACCTTTTCTCCACTGAGCTCCTCATAATCCCGCAGGACCTCTAGAAGTTTAGAACACTCACTACGTGAACCACGAAGGAATAAGTAGGAGTCATCATAAAAAAGTGAGACACCCTAGGGGCTTTGGGGTTTACCCGTACACCCTACAGTCTCCTGTCCCCAATCGCTTGCATGAGGAGAGCCACAAAACCCTCAGTACACAAGACAAAAAGAGAGGTGATAATGGTTCCCTTTTCGCAGCACTCTGGTAGGCTTAAAATACCCAGATGGCTTACCATTCATCATCATAGAGAATGACGGAGTAAAGATACACTCCTTGATCGAACTGATCCAAGTCTCACCAAAACGCAACTTCCTCAAGACCACCAGTATGAAAGGTCATTCCACTCTGTCATAAGCCTTTTCCATCTCAACATTTAGAGCCATATACCCTTTCTTTCCTTTTGGCTTTATGTTGAGATAGTGCATGATTCATTTCAAATAAGAATATTATCGACAATTTGGCGACCTTTAGTGAATGCATTATGTTCCGAGGATGCGATCTCGGCAATAGGTAAACTATTTTATTCGCCATAACCTTCTAATTATCTTATAGACAAATTGCCACAGGCTAATCGATCGAAATTGCCTCGTCATTTGGTGGTGGTTTCAATTCACTTCAGCCTCTCCCTCCCCTTGCCTACTGCCTCTCTCCTCTGGCCTCAACGTCACCTCTTTAGCAGCTCTCGCTGTCTCCGCTTCTCCTGATTTCCTTTTCTCCTCCTGCAATCCCAAGTTGTTTCAGAACAGTAGCGGCTACTACCTTCCAGTGCAACAAAGCCCTTTTCTCAACGTTACATTCAAAGGAACCCATTTTTCCATCATCCTTGGTTTCTCCTATGTGGAAGGAAGCCGAAACACGGCCTAATGATTTCTCGGTCCCTCTTGTTTTACGGCCCTGCGCTAAATGTGGGTCGATGGGATTAGGAATTGGAGTTCATGGGTTATGTGTGAAATTGGGATGGTGGCCAGCATCTTCGTTGCTTTGGCTTTGGTTTTCATGTATGTGACTCCGAGTAAAATGTCTCAAGCAAGGAAGGTGTTCGAAGAAATGTCGTAAAGAGATGTTATGCTATGGACATTTATCTTGGTTGGATATGCACAGGGGAATCACTGTCGGGCATGTAATTGATGGGGTCATTATGGTGAGCTTGCTTACCATATGCAGCCACATGGGTTGGTCGAAGCAGGGGAAGACTACTCACGCTTGGTGCATGAAAAATTTTCTGGGAACGGAGTTGAGTTTGGGAAACGCCATTGTTGGCATGTTTATGAAGTGCTCCATTCTAACCTCCGCGCAAATGATGTTCAATAGCATGCCGGCAAAGAATGTGTTCTCTTGGAGCTCCTTGATTTTGGGATACGGGTTGCGGCTATTTGATCACATGCTTAGGAGAAGGTTCAAGCTGAATGACGTCACTTTTTTGGCGTTCTATCAGCATGTGCCCATGGCAGGTTGGTGGAATAGAGGCGTCTGTATTTTGACATGATGAGTCCAAGGGGTTCTTCCTAGGGGAGGAGCTACATTAGCCCTCCAGGGGGCCCCGGCCCCCACGAGAATCTCAAAAATTACGTGTAAATAGTTTGGGATAATACGTATAAACTAAAATTAATGTATAAAACAAGAGGCGGTGCAAGAAGAGAACAAGCAATTTGTGTTCAGGAAAGTGAGTGGCGCCATTATTATGAATTATAAGTCCTTGGCTCGATTCTGCTTCAAAGCAGTATTCGGCTCCTTTTTAATGTTTCAAGCTTTAGACTTAAGTCCTTCCATTTTGGACTTAATATTTTTTTTCTTATAAACAATTGTTCTTTTTATTATTAGCTTAAGGTTTTCATTTCAGTGAACAAACAAATTTAATTATTAGCTTTCATATAAAGGTTTGTTAGTTCCTTAATTTCAAACAAGATCAATTAATTGCTTCCATTTCAATGATACTTTCGAATGGATGAGTTCCTTAATTTCAAACTAAATCAATTAAATGCTTCCATGTCAATAATATTTTCGAATGTATGAAGAATAGTTTTTGCTAAATACAAATACCGATAGACATTCGTTTTTTGTACACAAATTTTGTGATTTATATTTAATTTAATGAATTTTTTTTGTTCGATTATAATAAAGTAAAATAGTTTTCGAATATTTTTATTGCTATATTTTTTTGCCTTTTGCGATAACATATTACAGATTTTCGACACCCCCCCCCCCCCCCCCCCCCCCCCCCCCCCCCCCCCCCCCCGCGATCATCAAATCCTAGCTCCGTCCTTGGTCGTTCCTCAGTTGAAAATGGGATTGGCGGCGAGCATCTTCGTTAATGGTTTTCATGTATGTGACTGTGGGTAGAATGTCTCACCGGCTAGGGGACGCGGCGAGGAGAAAGGAGATTGAGAGGCAGCGGTGAGGAATGCAGGGGAGAAGGACAAGGGGTTGTTGAATTTTAAAAAATTAATTTTATTTTTTAAATAGC